TTATGCAAATCCGAGCCAAGCTGGGGAATGTTTGGACTGTGTTTCGATATAGGCTACAACTGCTAACATTTCCCCAGCAATTCCAAGGCAATGGCAATTTATGCATTGCTCCACATGCAACTCGGACACCTGGAGCGAATTTGTTTGTTTGCCAATTGATGCCTGCAACAATTGTGCAATTATTTCTTTTGTTTTCATTCCACCCCATTTCCACTCCATTCGCAGTCAAAGAAACGCGGTTAAATGCTAATTAATAGGGGAGCCCACTGCCAAAAGTTTTAACACTGACAAATGAGTCGAGCTCTGGGATTGGGACTGGAGCTGGCAATGGGAGAGGGCTCTTTAAGGCGCAGCTGAAACTTCTTTAACGTGGCTTAAATATTAATAGCGCATTACGTATACGCCGCGTGCGACGCCTCCAGTTGAGGCTGCTCGACTGGCCGCTGGGAATCCAGTGCTCTTAAATTTAGATCAAATATATTGAATATGCTTTGGCTGCTCGGGTCCCGTTTCGACGCGCTGGTTTAATATTTATAGACAACGTCCCAGCGGTCAACGGCTTTTGTGTCCATTTGTAAATTTTAAGCACGCAAAAGGTTCGCATATTAAATGTTAACTAACATTATCTTGGCGCCTCTGCAGCATTATAATTTATGGGGCAATCAGGCGAGCAGGAAGCAGGAGGCTCCAAGGCCCGAGCGAATGACAAATCTAGTTAAAGTTTCGAGGACAAACTAGATCCCAAACTCGTTGTACGATTCGTTTCATTAATCCGCCTCTTCACTAGTTTCTGTAGTTTATTGAATTCATAATTCTTTCTGGCATTTCCTTTCACACGGCGCACAGCTTTTAATGCTCTTCTTTATGCTGAAATTGTCAAACACGATTCCCTCTTTTTTTTTATTGAGCTTTGCAGTGCTTATTACAAATTAATTACATTCTCTTTCATTTTTTATGCACACTCGAAAGAGCGCATCTCTATGCACTCCATCCTGATCCCAACGCGTGTGCCGCTTGCTCAATTGCAACCACAGCAGTCATGGAAGGCGGGTGTTAGATGAGAGGAGGCGAGGCGAGGCGAGACGAGGCGGTCGTGTAAAGCTGACAGGTTTGCATATTTCATACTGGCTACGCATAAGTGACACTTGTCAAAACACATTTTCCACACCTGCCCCTCTCCCTGCTCACCCTCTCTTACTCTATCTCTCTCGCTTTAGCCCTCAGTATAGCTTGAGGGGGCAAAAAAAAAAATACATATTTCAAGTGCGGCACTTCATGTGCGTCAAACTGAGATCCATGCGTGTGTGTGGGTGTTAGACAGAGCTGCATAGGATGCATCATGGGGTCGAACAGAAAAAGTCCTCGAGTCGAAAGCCCTTGAGTTGTTTTGCAACATTTGAACACGTCAAGTTTTTAAGGTCAGCATGTCGCTGGCAGCCAGACAGCCGCAGACTAGCGCCAGACCGCAATATAAGTTACAGTTGCCTTCTCTTTTCTTGTTTTTTTTTTTGTCGGACGTTTTATATCGTTTACTTATGCACTGAGGCCAGTTCGATGACTCCACTCGAGGAGCTCATTTCAATTGGCCAACCACGGGCGAGCAGCTTAAAGCTGTTCAAACTTTCTCTTGAAGTGCTTCATTTGCCAAAAGTAATTCATTACAATTGCATTTTCGGCCAGTGGAAAAAGTTCGTTGCGCGGGCAGTTGCCGAGTGCCGAGTGCACTTCAATTGTTTTTTGCCTGCGGCTAATGGAACAGAGTGGATGCGCAGCGGGGCTATAATAGAAATGAATGAATTATTCGTAAGAAGCTTGAATACTCTTACCTTCAAATTAACGATATTGTTTCTGTTTCCATTCGTTCCCCCGAATTATTAGCTGTGCTTTAGCTTCATACTTTCGATAACACGATAGAATCTATATCAACTAATTCACATTTTATACTCATTAATTTAATTTAATTTATTAAATAAAGTGATAAGTTAATTTAATTTATTAAATAAAGTAATATATAACATTCTTATTTCTCTTTGTCTCTAATGCTTGAGAAAATGATAAAGTTCGATGAATCGTCGAGCTAAACTTTTAGCTGTGCTTTAGCTTCACACTTTCGATAACTCGCTCGTATTAATGCCGAAATGATTTCAATATTTTATTTTGTTATATTAATTTTAGCTTTATTTAATTTTATATTAATTAATATATATTCATTATTATGAAATTAATTCATATTCATGATTTAATTTCATATTAGCTATGCTTTGAGGTTATCGAAAACTCAATATTAAAATGCTTTCATTATTTCTTGTTTGTTTATTTTTTAAATCTAGATCTATTCAACTTTGTATTTATAATACAAATACATAGCTTTGCTTAATAACCTTAGATGATCTTTGGCTTTTAAATTTAAAGACTTTCAGCTCCAACTTTTAGTATTATTCGCATCATCACATTTTCGATAACATGCTGAAACTAATATTAACATGTTTTCAGTATTTACCATTTTTCTATATTTTTTAAGCATATCTATATCATATTGCAACTCATGTCCTTTCATTTTTTCTTTAATTAATTCATTTGGATGCACACATAAATATTATAGCTTCGCTTGCCAGTACATGTCTTATCGAAGTGAAGAGCCATGATTGAGTTTCCATTTATTCCACTTTGGTTTTCGGATGTGCTTTAGCATCACATTTTCGATAACACGCAACGGCCTATATCAAATAGATGTAAATACTTCGCATATTCCTATATTATTGTTAACTTTATTCAGCTTTTTTTTAAGCTCTCCTATCTGGCATATTTTTATTTCCACCTTTCATCCCATACATCTTCTAGATACGCCTATTGTTTCGATACCCCAGATTTTTGTCGGGCTGCTCTTTGGCTCTTAAGTTATGGGCCATGTTTACTCCTGGGGCAGAAGCAGCTTTATGCGTGTATTTCTACTTCCTCCATCTCCTATTATTATTTTTTTATTTATGTGTGGATGTGGGTGGGAGTGTGTTTGTGGCAAACACTTTTTCGTAAAATTTTCTTGAAAGAATGTTAGACAAACCGCTTTGTTGGCAACAATTTGGGTTAAAACTTAAGTATTTTGCTGCGAGCTGCCGCATTGCCCCGACGGCATCCGCCCCCAGTCTGGCTCTTAAATTCTTTGGCACTGCAGTGCTTTGGCTAAAACCATCTAACCAGCAAGTGGAAATAGTGGGGGTGAAGAGCGAGTTAAGGCAAAGGGGCAAAAAAGCCAAAGCAAAAAGTAAAAATAGAAAGCGAATGAAGAAAAGAATAACAACGAGAAAAGCAACAAAGTTTTCTTCTTTTTTTCTGTGAACGCTAAAGCTGACTGTTTGCATTTAGTTGATGCTTTGTGCTTTCCCCTTTTTCCCATGTACTTTGCACAGCTAAAGGACACAAATTGTCCTTTGCTCCTATGGGCTTGTGCGCAGCGCGAAATTGGTGAAATCTACTTTCACTTGTAGCCCAGAAAATGAAAAGTATTTTAAAGAGCAAGCTAAGCCCGGCCGCTCGCTCCAGAAAAATAATTAACATCTATTAGAAAATGTGTGGCTTGGCAAGTTTTTCGTATGGCATCTGGAGCAACGTGTCTGCTAATTTAATTGAAAGTTTGATCAAGTTTAACTAAAACTTTGGATATGCCGCACTGCCGAGGCCACATCAAAGCGTGAAGAACCAACCAAAGTTGTTCCAATTATATACATTCAAAAGAACCCAGACCCAGACCCAGGCCTGAGCCCAAACACTAACCCAAACCCAGGACCGAAAGGCACATAAGTGTGAGCCAGTCTCTTTAGCCATAAGTATATAAATATGTTTGTTCACTTCTGGGGGCAGCTTTATTGGTATCTGAGCAGAGCGTAACTTAACTAATTTTAAAGTTTCTGAAATGAGATCTGCGAGTGTGTGGGACTCGCTCGGTGCTCTGTCTCTGTCTGTATCTGTGTCTGGGTCTGCGTAAAGTTTTCAGAGCAACTGATTTGGCACTGCCATCGCCTGAAATTAGTTGCAATTTTCGGCATCTGGGGAAAATCGTGCCATTTGGCTGCAGCAGCAATGGGAAAAGCAGGAAATTGTCTACAGCAGCTTGCGGTATGCAGTCATCACCATCACCATCATCATCACCATTATCATCATCATCATCATCTGATCCAAAAATGTCACTTTTGAAGTTTGAAGAGGGTTTTCGTAAAAGCCAACGCATCCCATGAAAATATCTAGTTAATGCATTTGCATTTGCTGAATTTCCAAAATCAATTTCAGTTTTGATTTGTTTAGTTTTTCTAATTATTTCGTTTCATTCCATTGTTTCCGTGTGCCTTATATTTGTAAGCTGCAGCCCGAGGAAATTGAATTATCGATATCATTGACTCGTCTCGTTTTATTAACATCGTTTCATTTGGAATTGGGTGGTTGAGCGGTAAAGAAGTTTGGTCTGTCGTCACTTAAAAAGAAAATGGAGGTTATTGATATTGAAGAACCTACTCCAGTCGTTAATACTGCCAATCCGGAATCCTCTGGCACTGCGATCCTGCTGAAAGTAAAGCGCCAGAAAGCTCGCATCGTCCTCAAAGGCAACAAGGCCTGCATCTACGTGCGCTGCGACCCCCAGCAGCAGCCGGACTTCCTCGGAGTCAACGATGTGCTGTTCGAGGCGTTAGAAATTGTGCAGCTGATGATAATACTCTTCATATTCATGATTTTACTGAAAATAGCTGATATGGGATATTAAATACATCTGATTGTCAACTTATGGGCATTTGTTTAATATATGTACATAGGAAATGCTGAGGTGCTAATTGGGCAAAAGATTTCATGATTTTTGGTAGTCGTAAAATCTGCAATCGTACATACATACATATATAGAGATGTGTCTATATATGTATGTAAATTTTTTAGTCGACTCTAGAGCCACGTGTAACATGAATGTATGTATGTATATGTAAATTTAAATATATTTACATGCACATTTGTGTATGTACATATAACACCGATAACTATGACTTATCGATAACATAAGTTTGCATCCCTTCAAGCTCGCTGTTTAACGACCGCTCGACATAAATTTCGCCGACAATGTTTGCTTTGTAAGGCAATAATTATATATATTTATTTATCATCGTATATCAGGAGTATTTTCCATTTCAGCTGTATTCGGGTCTCGGTCTTGTTAAAGCGCTTGCCCAGGACGTGTTTATCTCAATTGATTCGCTGCTTGGAGTACGGCCTGTACAGGTTCTGGCTGCTGGTCTACAACGAGCCCGATGACACGGATGTGGTGCTCTTTAATGAGCTGCCCCTAAGGCATCGTCAAATCTCTCGCCACATATCGCACAATTGTCCCAAGCCGTTCTGCGAAATGTGCCGCGTGGAACGAATCGTTATGTACATGGACCGGGCGAAGGTCTCCATTGACATCGCAATGCTGACAATCTCACACAGCTCGTTCTACAGCGCCATCAATGCCGCGCGGCTGAGGGGCATTCAGGTACGCCTGATCACCGACTCGCAGATGATCTTTGCGCAGGGCTCAGTGGTGAAGCAGTTGGTGGCTGCCGGGATTCCGGCGCGCCGTTCTCCGCCGGACGTGATACTGCATAACAAGTTCTGCATCATCGATGGGGAGCAGCGCGTGTTCGAGCTGGACCAGCAGCAGCGGCGCTGGCACCACCGGCTGTGGTACCGCAGGGGCTACGTGCTGAATGGTTCGCTCAACTGGACCAAACTGGGCACTGGCAACAACTTCGAGAATGTGGTCATCACCTCCAATCGGGTCATCATCGCACTCTACGAGAACTTGTACAATGATATGTGGAAGCATTTTCCAGTTCTCGACTTGGAGGCCTTCGACTCGATACCAACGACACCGTTCGATTTTGAACAGAAAGACCTGCCTTGCAAGCAATTTGATAGAAGTCTGAACTAAAGTCACGTCTGCAACTGCAAGTCTTGTATTGTTATTATCTTGTTATTTTAATGCATTCTTGGGGGCGTCGTGTTGTTGTTTCTCCTCATCCTCCTCTTCTTTTTTTACCATTCCTCTCAGCTGCAGCAAAAAGTTTTCTTCGCAAGTTTCATTGCTGCCTCGTCTACTACTGGCACATCATGCGGGAATTGCAGCAGTTAACCAAGTTAACAAATCCACCTTCTTTTCTTTTTTCGCATTGTTTCAGAGTCTTGATTACGCTTTGGTTGCTCATAAATTTGTATTCCAGCGTAAGCAAAAAAAAAAAAAAAAAAAAAACAAAAAAAAAAAACAGCCAAGTTGCTTACTTTCTCGCAATGGCCAATATAAAGGGCAAAAACTTTTTTATTTCACCTGGGTGGTTTGGAGTGAAACTAGAGCGCTGCAATGTGCAAAGGTATTGCCAAATAAACTCATCTCTGGCTTCCCTTCGCTTACCTTTGTCCCACTATCAATTGCGCTTTATCAAATTTAAATGTTGCTCAATATAAACTTTTCTTTCAAGTTTAGCGAATATTTTCTTATAATGAAAACCTGAGGAAAAGCAAGAGGAAATTTATTGGTAATGCAGTCTCATCTAGTAATCAGGGACGGTGCAAAAAGTACCTTTAAGCTACCTCGAATAAAATATAAAATAATATATATGTATATACATGTACAACGGTACATAAAATACATACATACATATGTATGTATGTCGAATCATTAAATTATTGTGTATTGTCTAACAACACTGCGTCTTATTCTTAAAGTAGTGTTGGATTATTACTCAAATTGGCAGTCCACTAGAGTGAGACAAATAATGCCGCCTGAACCTGGTCCCTGCTTAGTCTTGAGAGCGAATGAGATGGCATGCAAGCCTCTTGTCAAAAAGCAGCGAGTGCTATTTTAGAGCAAAATAGAAGAAGCAGCTAAGAATTGTAAATCGATATAAAAAGTTAAGCAAAAGAATTGTACAAGTACAGCAGCATGGGGAACTCAGTATAGAGCGGTGCTATACAGGTATGTACATACATATAAGAATATGCAGAATGAACACCGTAAGCTCTGAAACAAATATGTTTGTATGTATGTATTTACTGCATATGTATGTATGTACTTCATATGTATGCATGTATGTATGTACTACATATGTATGTATGTATGTATGTATACATCCATCAGAATTAAAAATAATAGATAAACGGTAAGTTATTATTATTTTTTGTTAATAGCCATGGCTTTAGCTTTATTATATTTGAACAGGAAAACTCAAGATTCATCCATACATTCATCCATATCCATGTTTTCAACATCGGACAGGTTATATTTGCCATCGTCGAAGTGCTGGATAGGGAGCTGAGTGCGCTCCAGTAGATGCGGATTGAGAGCCACGATTGAGCTCCAGGGTATTTCCTTGCCCATCAGCTTCGAGTCCTCGGTCCATGCGACGGTTATGGACTGAATGTCGAACTGCTTGGAATCAACGATTGCAGCATGGACGCGCCCATCGGTACGCCCAATATTGATTTTCTCACCGATCATAAGAAATTCCATGGTTCTATATTCACAGACTCCCAGATTCACAGATCTTAATATTTATTTTATTTTTTCCTAGTATTTATTGTGTTCGTGCCGACGTGTGTTAATTTATGACTGAGTTATGAGAGTTGAGCTAGTGTAACGAGCGCCATGAGTACTTGATACGATTGAAAGTATTTTGAGCTTGTTACTGAAGCCAACTTCACTTGAATTAGCCACTCAGCAGTCGGATACTCAGTCCGTCAGTCAGTCAGTCAGTCAGTTTGACGCATTGTTCAACTGGACGAGCATTAATCAAAAAGCGCAGCTGGTGACAAATTCCGAAGACAGGTGCACCAAGTGGCCGTCGTTTCCAATTTGCCCACACCTGACTTTGAGACACAACAAAATACGAGCACATCTGGAGGGCTTAGATGCAGCTTCCGACTGACCTACGCATATGCCCACCCCCTCACCCACCGTCCCCTCTAGCTCTGTTGGCCAGACAAATTTTATGGCCAACATTTTTGGAAGAGTCGCTTGGACGCGCTCGTAAATTCGCAAGGTGAACGGTGTGTGTGTGTGTGTGTGTGTGTGTGTGTGTGAGTGGGCGTGGGCGTGGCACTTGCTTTTGATATATGGCCATCGCTGCGTTCCGGGTTAGTACTTCTCAAATTAGATTTAGGAACGGTCGCAGGCCGTGAAAGCGCTCTAGCGCTCCAGCTCTTTCGCTTTCATCTGGCCTGGCCCGGGGTCCAGCTGCCATAAAATGTGAGGTGAACCCAAAATGTTGCAATATTTACACAGCACAATTTAAAGTACACACAACATTGTAACTTACGTGCCGGGGGCATATACACACAAACACACATGTACATATATACATATACAATATGTATGTGAGCATATTGAAGCAATAATTTGCTGACGCAAAGCGATCTGCCTTCTGTCTAGACCTGATGCAGCAGCTGCGAATTGAATTGCAGCTCAATTTAATTAAAACAAAAATCAAGCGATTAAGTAAAGTTCACGCATCGGGGGATTAAACAAACATCTGTGTGTCTGTGTGTGTGCTGAGACACAAGCCAATGGCCCCCACACACACACATGCACACACATCTGCCTGTGTGTGTGTGTGTGTGCTGTGCTGTGCTGCAGCCAGTCAGGTGTAAAAACTAATTTACAGAAATTCTATAAGGGCACAATGGTCACGTTAAACCAGGCAGGCAAGACCGCAAACACTTCGGGCCCAAGGACTCAAGACCATTTGCGTACATGGCCATTAATGCAGAATGTTTTCTCTATGCCCGAAAAGTTTTCTATGGCTCTATATAGTCGTCATGCTGGACTGGGTGAATAACCTTTGGCCACGACTCCTGCTCGGCTGTGTAAATTTTGTGCCACGTCGCGGCTGAAAGGCTAAATGGAAAATTGGTTGAACAACATTTGATTTATGTACATAGTTGGTATATGCATACATATGTGTGTGTGTGTGTGTGTGTTTTTGTGTATTTGATATGAGAGCACACATCCTTTTCAGCGTTGCATAAATGTTGATTCTTGCAAGCGAATCCCCATTAAAGTCTCTCGCTCGTGTTTAAGGTATTTGCAATTTCAGTTAGTGGGTCACCATGCTGACAATGGGATTGGCCGTCGACCGCAAAATCAACAGCAGCAGCAGAAGCCACATCATCATCATCCTCATCATTGTCATCATCGCCATCGTCAATATCACTGGAGCACATAAATCTCATGGCTACAGCAATCAGAAGAGGAATCAAGAGCAGTATCTGTAACAGAAACCAGTGCCAACTTGTCAGGCTGTCGCGGGAGGGGGCGAGGGCAATAGAGGGGATAGTGGAAATGGCGACTGGCATCAAGGGCGCCATAAATGAGAATTTCCGACTCATTTCCGTTGTTTGTGTGTGGTTCATTTGTGGAACATAATGAGGCACTGTGGAAGGACAACAACAACAACAGCAACTAAATGCATAGCCAAAGCGAAACGGCCCGGAGTAGGCAATGCCACATATTCATTTAAAGCGCCTTTCACCCAATGCCCTTTTGGCCTGGCCAAATTTATGGCTGCATTTATGGTGCACCTCCAGCCGGGGGCAAGGCCCCAAGGCAACTTGACCTTTCGCCTAGCTCTACACTGCGTGGCCAACTGCAACTGCCACTACAACTGCAACTGCAATGCCAACTGCCATTTGTCAGCATTAGCACAATTAGAGCCCGCCCGCAGCCGCATCCGTGTCAAGGGCATCATAAATGGGCAAATCTCGGCTCCGTGAGATGGCCAGGTACTAGCTCCAGCACCAACACCGGCTGCCCGCAGAAGTACAATTCAATTAAACGCAGCTCGCTGCTGCCAAAGAACAATTTGTTATCTCATATGCCCGCAGGCGTGGCGCATGTTAAGATATATGCGCTCGTAAATTTTGCATTAGCTTCGAGATAGCGAAGGCTAATACAACAGGCAGCCGAATAACGTACGGCCCTGTCCCTGTGAGATTGCACCGTTATCCTGCATGGAAATATATTGACAGCACCACTGATTATCCGGGTAAGGCACACTGAGCATGGCGTTCGATTTATAGGCAGATCAAAAGTTGTACACACACACTCAGACACAGACATAGCCCCAAACAACCTACACAAACAAACAAAAAAACAAAAAAATTTAAATTAAATAAAAAAATAATAAAAAACATATACCCGAGAATACAAATATACACTGTATAAGATTGGTATATAGTAAGAGAAGACAGAGACTATGTTCCAGGACGGGCCGAATATCTCGAACTTGCGCCTCACCCATCAATTGGAGTAAGTTCATTGACCCCCACTGCCTCGGAGCTATAGTCTCAATCCCTCCTTCCCCCTTCCTTCCCCCGAAGTGTCACCCCCGATGACAGTTGCTCGGAGAGGAGCACCAACGAGTTCACGAGGGCTGTGCTCGCGCGGTGAGTAGAAATGACATCGCCGATCTATAGTCGATCTATATATGCTTTATGGGAACTGTCAATCCAGTTGTGTTTGCTAATAAATTAAAAAAGTTGATTTTTATATTTTTATAGAAAATGGAAAAGTATCTTCATAAAAGATGGTATACCTGCATTTATCGATGCCAGACTATCAGACTGCAATTTTGTTTAAATTTCTGTAAATCCATTCATTTCTCCCCCCCCAGCACCCCCTGCTTTTGGTAGACTATGTGCAGTTTCTGGCCGCTCGCAAGATACAGAAACATTGGCGCGGCTATTATGCGCGGAGTTTACTGTACAAGCGGTGGCTGGCAGCGGTCACCATACAGCGGTGGTGGCGCGGCTACTGGGTGCGCAAGAGCCACTTCGGATTCGTGGAGAACAAGCTCCAGACTATGCTCGTCGACCACTACGATCGGGCGGCGACGAAGATTCAGGCACTCTACCGCGGCTGGAGGATACGCCAGACGGTGCACGACTCGAAGGGGCTGAGC